AGATTTTTGTTTTAGCCTACAGCTAACTAGAGGTAGAAACAAACGCAGTCTCTGCTAATCACATTCCTACTGTCCTTGTGGTGACTTGCCCTGAGCCTCCTAGGGAAGAAAGATGGATTGCTCCCTCCTGGGTTGTAAATGAATCTTTCTGGAAACAGAGCTATATAGCAAAAGCCCTTAAGCCTGTTTCAATAAACAGTCCTTATAAGAAGATGATCATTAATCCTTTGGCAATGTGCACACACTCTCTAGGTGTGTTCATGGGTGTAGCCTCACATTGTATACACTTGAATACGTAATACTCCCTGGCCAACAACAGTTGGCTACACATATACTTTGTCTAACTCCATGGTTGATAGCATTTAATTCTGTGGGATACAAAAAAAAAAATGACAAAAAAAAATGACTGGAGGTTAAAAGATCTGATTCATTGAACTTTCTATTCATATGATGCATTTATGGTAGCTAACAACCAGCAGTGGACTGGACCATGGTTGGGGTAGGAAAATGTGAGTGACTTGAAAACACAAAGCATCTATGACTAGAATTATTCTAAATTTTTTAAATGTTTAAATGAATGAGTTTCCTGCTTTGATTCTAAGCAATCCCTAAAAGAAGCAGAGATATAAAGTCTAAAATAATAAAAGTGTTTTTGTTGCAAAAATATCAGTCCTTCCCTCCACCCCCCCAAAAAAAGTGTCTTTCTTTTCCATTCTAAGCATGTCTCTGATTAGGACCCAAAAGAATGAAAAGATAATTAGTTAAAAGAATATTTAATCTTCACAGCATAGGCTGATAAAGAAGTACAATTTAAAAAAAAACCCATTGGCAACCGATCTATGTGTGCATATATGTGTATTTGTATACATACACATACATACATATATATGTGTGTATGTATATATGTATGTGTGTATAGATAGATAGGGATTGATCGTTTCATTAAAGAAACTGACCCTAGAAATGTCTAAAATCGCCGTTGTCTTGGATGTGGTACAACAGGAAATAAACACAATAAAAATTTATTAGTAACAACCTTTCAATATTGTCCTTAATACTCAAGAATCATCCAGTCCCTGAGCTAAGTCCCTTGGAAGTTCTTGGGTGCAAATAAAAATGTTCCATACTGTTTCCAAATTGAATAAGGGAAAAAGACCAGTGGGGAAACTGCATTTCACAGGCTGAGGAGGAAGATTTGGTAATAATTTGTAACGGTCTCAGATAACCCAGTACTACAAATTGGCAGCTGACAGATTTGTAATTCAGAAAGGGCTAGACCAAATAGAATGACATATTAATATGCACTGATTGCTCCCTGGGATATTATAGGAGGTGAAAGGAAGGGGCTGTAGTAACCCTAATTAAAATAAAAGGGAATGTAACTTTCACTTATAAAACCATTCACACTACAATGGGCCTGTGGGATTTCTTGGTGGTTTAGCTGCAGCAGTAATGAAGTCATTTAATTTTAATTTGGATGAAACACATATAGCAGAACACCTGGAAACACTGGTTGTTGATGCACACAGAACCACAAGGCTCACAGACCAATGGACATGAATGTTTGCTTGTAAGCTTTCATAATTCTACCTTCGGAGCCAGAATCCTACTTTTGTTTTAAACTTCATTTGCTCAAAAATATCACCATTGCTGATGTTTGGGGTCAGAGAAGAAGAATAAATTTCCAGATGGTACAGTATGGAGCCCATTAATTTATGTCATCATTTCCTGATTTAGTGTGAGGTTGTCTGAGTGCCAAGATACCCTTCTCAGAATATCACGTCTTCAGACAACTTTCTTTTGGGTAGGCTACAGTTTTATCTTAAAGGCAGAGCAAAGAAAAGAAAAAAATAAATCCCAGCAGATTAGACTCAGCATGTCAGAGAGACTGAGAGGAAGAGAAATGGGAGGAAAGAAAGCTGGCATTTGTGGTGGTTGTTATCATTCGCTCAAGAGAGTTTCATCAAAACCAAGCCAAAATATTTGGGGGGAAGTTGTAAATAAGAGGCTTGCACTGATATCTGGATCTGTGATTGGCTTTCCAAGGAGAGACGCTGTGCACCTCTCAATGGAACTGTACATTCATCACCAACATCCTGCCTCTGGGTGGTGATCAATGCTTGTTTCATCAGTTAAAGAGGAAAACACCTTGTCACATGCAATCCCCACTTTGCAAAAATGTTGGTGGGTTTGGGGAGAAGAGGGGCTTGTGAGGGGAGTAAGAGTCTGGCACATCGCATTTAGGGTGTGACCTGACTTCTGAAACTTGATTTTTCTTGTGGATATTGATCCTTCTAAGAGCTTGGAGCATTCACCCCTCGCCTCCAAATAAGACACATGCAACAGATTTTAATATCAAAAATACATTTTTGAGAATAAGCCTTCTTATTTGTGATGAAAGGAAGAGAAACAGAATTCAAAATATCTTAGCAGATTTTTCCTACCAGTTTTACGAGATTAGGGAAAAGTGGGAAAATGACACCTCATTTTAGGCACAGCAGATGAAAGCCTAAGACATAACATTTTACAAATGAGAAAGCAGTTGATTTTGGACACCTTTAGACTAAAGCTCATGCCAAGAACTTTAGGCTTCCCTTGGGGGTAGAGCTAGGGGACATCTTGTTCTTGAATCCATTATATTTTGCTGTTGGAGGGAAATAGTCCCTTAAATCTCCATCTACTTTCATTTAACATAGAGAAAATCCTAATCTCATAGAAAAGAATAAATAGTTCCCTATTTAAAGGACGTAGTTAAATGTCTCAGTTTGGGGAAATGAGAGTCGACTGTGCCTACGTTTCTTAGAACTGAAGACACCAATGGCATTAAGACTAAAAGTCAGTATGTTTTAAGTGAAAGGATTAACATATTCGGAATCTGAAGACCTGGATTCATGTCCTACTTTTTAGCTATATGACCTTGGGCAAGTCACTTCCCTTCTCTAGGCTTCAAGGTAAAATGAGGCAATGGGACTAGATGATCTCAAAAGCCCCTTCTAGCCCTGACATTTTATTGACTCCACGATAGACACTGAAGCTTCATTCTCACTGAAAACAGACCTTTATCCTATGTTGGATGTGTTCTGTACTAGATTTCTTCAGGGTTTTCAAAATGTTAACAGTGATCCAGAAGGCTATTCATTTTGCTTTTTTGCATTTTAAGTGCTTCAAAGGTAACTTTCTGGTGAAGTAATAGGACTGTGTAGACTAAAAGGGAAGAAGAAAGATTCATTGTGTCCAAATGACCATTCCAGTCTAGCATGAGAATTCAAGTTAGAGAATACTGAGGTGCAGACCACAGCAGCTCAGGAAAGGTAGCCCTTCTACACAGTGAATTTACAACCTGGCTCATCCCTAATGATAACCATGAAACTTCTGTTCAAATAAAGTACCTGCTCATTGCCAAAAAAAAAAGCTTTGAAACTTCAGGAGGCTGCCTCCGTGATTTTAAATTTTGCTTTCCAAGTGCCAATGGTAAATAAACTTTGCTAAAGGGCTGGCACTATGTCAAGTTTCCATCTCTATTTATGTTGTCCCAAGCTCTGGGTTCCTAATGGCAACACTCTTAGCCCAAAAAGGCTCTTGCCAAGGATCCTAAGATTTTCATCTAACTAGGTAGTATTCTTCTTCATTGTACTATTGAAAAATGAGAACCCAAAACTAAATTTGACATAGCACACAATTCTAATTGTGGATCTAGTGTTTCTATTGCTTCTTTTTTTCAACCCTCTAAAAGATTGGAAATTTCCTGCTTCGCACCTCTGTAGTGAGGAAATCGCCTGATAGTCTTTAAGCTGCTAGTAAAATTGCATCCAAATGTATAAATCACCATTTAGATCACACATCATCATAGAATACATTTATCATCTGTGAACTACACACCTTTAAAAGGGTAAGGTTAATGGACCATCTCTTTATAAATATATGATGTGCTGAATAAAGGGTAAAGGTGAACTGATGGGAAGGGAAAAGGGAAGGGAGGAGGGAGGAAGAGGAAAAAAAGCTGCAATAGTACCCAAAAGAAGTTTTGCTCAATCTACCCACTTGGGGTTCCTATCACTAGTGTGGCATGGTCAACACACCAGTTCCTTCTAGGAGTTAAAAAGACATTCCCATTCTGGGTTCAAATGCTGACTCTTCCACTTACTACACATGATGTTGGTGAATTCATTAAACCTCTGGGCCTCAGCTTCTTCTCCTGTAACAACAGTGAGTTGGACTAGAGTCCCTTTCAGCTCTAAATCCTTTGAACTCCTATGAAATTTAATGCAGAGATGCTCCCCAAGTTTGGGGGGGGGGAGGTGGGAGGAGGGGAGAAGAGAGAAGAACAGGAATTGTTAACTACAGTGGAAAGAACTCTGCACGAGACTGAGGAGGCCAGCTCTGCCACTTATCCTGGGACCTCCTAATAGTTACTTCTCTTCTCAAGGCCTCACTTTCCCCTTCTGTAAAATTACTGGAGTTGGACTAGAAGATCTCTCCCAGATCTAATATCATATGTTCTACATTCTAAGTCTGTGATTCTACTGTGGGGATTCTGCATCTAATTCACTGCAGACTAGAAACCTGTCTTGGAACGAGGGGGTCACGGAACACTGAGCATAGCACAGGAAGTAGAAAGAGCAGGTGTCTATTCTCCTTGTCAGTTTCCCAAGAATCCAAGCCTGGGGCTGCACTGCCCACGACTATTCCACAGAGGATCTTGGAAGCAGTAGCAGTATATGGGTGGTGAGTTGTAAGTGGTGTAGGCAAGCAGGCAGACTTCAGAAAACTGCTCTCCCCACTAAACAGTGCGACGACAAACTCGCTATTACAGCTGTGGTGGACGTCACTAGGATGGAAGTTTCTTTCCATACACTCTACCAGACACTAAAAAGCTCACCAGACAACTTTCTGCTAGGGAAGGGCTAATCCCTGTTATCCCCCTACCCCCAAACTAGCAGGTAATTTTAAGTCAACATTTCGTTCCTGCATCCAAGGCTGCCTGTCCCTCTTCCACCTACCTTGACTGCCTCAGCATGGGTCACTCGGCCCAAAGACTTGTCGTTTACTCTCAGGATCTGGTCGCCCACCCTTAGCCCTTCTTTCTCCGCCAGGGAGCCAGGTTCCACCAGGGACACGTAAATTCCCACGCCGTGCTCGGAGCCACCTCGGATGCTGAAGCCGAGACCCTCGTTGGTCTTGCTTCTCCTAAGACTCACAAGCCGGATCTCCCCGCGCAGTTCCTCCGGGGGCGTCCCCTCTGGGCCAGAACCGAAGTCCACTTGGGACGGTCGGCTGGACAGTGACTGGGGCTGCGGGAGCCAGTAGGCGGCTGGAGGAGGAGAGGCAGCGGCCGCACCGTCCAGCAGCCCCGGTCCAGCCCCGTTGGCGCCCCCAGGGGCCGATGCGATGTGGGATTTGAGATAGGGCCCCTCGGACGTGTACTGGTCGAAGAGCAGCTGGTCGGAGCGCGGGATGACCAGGCGCAGCATAGGCAGCAGCTGCCGCTTGTCCGGGCTGTCAAGCAGCAGGCGCAGGGTCCGCACCAGGTCGTAGACGTTCCTCCGCGAGTGGTAAGCATTCAGGCAATGAGTGAACTGCTCCCGCTCCGCATCGCTCAGCAGCAAGTTAAGTGCATGGTGCAGCTTGCGCACGTTGCCCGACAGCAACCGGAGCCCGCTGCCAGCCGAGCCAGCCGCCGCCCCTGCCGCCGAGCCCAAAGAGCCGGTGGAGGACGAGGTCACCGACAGGCGGTCCAGCTGGGTGCTCATCTCCCGAACTCGGGTTCGCTCTGACGCGGGGAGCCCTGGCGGCTGGATGGGGCTGGAGGCTGGGGATTTTGCAGCGCTGGACCTCCTTCCCCACCTCCAAGTCAGACCATTCCCGGGCTCCCCCAGCCAGGCCACTTCTTGTCCCTGGCCTGGGGGACCCCACCCCCTCAATCGGGGGCTCTACTCCCGAAGCCCCGGGCAAAGCAGCCTGGGCGAGTCCCGGGTTGTCAAACAAAGATCTCGGGGCATGTCCGGAGCCCAGGACCGTTCCCTGCGAAAGGTCCCCCGAAATGCAATATTGGGGAAAAGTGGAGGGCGGGATCCCCACCTTCAAAATGCAATGGGAGAACGGCGCCCGAAGTACCCTGGAGCTGTCCCACGAGCAGGAGAAGCTGCTCCGAGGCCGCTCTGGCCCTCGTCGCCTCCCCAGGTCGGCAGCGGGGCACTTTTGCTAACTGTTGAGCTCTCCGCCCCCAGAGCTCCAGCGCCAGCCTCTGCTTCCAGCTTGTTCCGACGTCTCAGCCCTCCCCCCGCCCCCTGCCCTCCCCTCCCCTCCCCCCGCCCCCTGCCCTCCCCTCCCCCCACAACCTCCCCCTCCCGCGGAATCTTCAGGAAATGACGTTCCTCCTAGCGCCCTTCAGTTGCCAGGAGACAGGGTGATACAGTCCAGCCCCGGGAAAGGGGAGGGAAGGGGAAGGGGCGTAGGGAAGGAGGAGCGCTAGACCCTGGTTCCCGGGATGCGCTCGAGGCCGGTGTGCGGCTTCGCCCCCGTCCAAGTTCTTGTGTTCTGACTGCTCCCCTACTCCTCACCCTCTATCCCATTCGGGAAGACGCAGGGAAAAGCTTCAGGGTTTGGGGTTAGGTTAAGATGCACAACTTCTCTTACCATAATCCAGAAAATTCAAGAGAAAAAAAAATAGAAGCATATCTTTTTCAAAGAAATCGAGGCACAGCTGTTGGGCTTCCTTTGTCTCCCTGAATTGTCTGGATAATTGCCTGAGTTCTCCTCTAGCTTGGCCACAGCAGGCCCAGTTTAAATTAGTGTCTAGTGGACACTGCTGTTGTTTTTAATAACCAGTTAAGCCGGCTTTAGGCATCTGCTTTATAGCAGCTGGTCACCAGCAATTAATAGCGGCCGTCTTTCTCTCTTCCTCTCAATTGCTGTTGAACCTTTGATACAATTACCCAAACACATTTAAATAAACAAAAAACACATCCTTTTTTCTCCCCGAAATATATTTAACTGGCCGTCTTCAAAGACTATCAAACATGAGGTGTAATGTATGCCGTTCAGGTCTTTTGTGCATGAATGTCGTGCTTAGCTTGCTCTTAGTTGGGTTTCTAATTATAATGACTGTGATTGGTTTGATAACGGCATCCCTGGAGCTATGCTATCACTTTGTACTTGCAAAACCGCAAACACAACCACACGCAGAACACCACCACCAAAGATGTTTATGAAAAGGTGTTTCTCTTTAGGCATCAAAAACAATACTGGGCACATATGATGGAAAAAAAAAGGTTTTTATTTGAAAACGCTGAAGGCTGTGCTAGTGGTATGCTCTTGTCCTTTGCGTCAGGCACCAAGAGTGCAGGAGGTTGAGAGAGAGATAGGTTTGTTTTCTTACATCCATCTTGCATAAGCACCTTAGTATCAACTTGCCCTTTATACTCTTTAAGGAGAGGCAGTGTACCTCTATCCAATTTCATCTCTGAAGATGCATTTGGCTGTGCAAGAAATGATCACTGGGTTCACTGAAAAACCCAAGATGTTTGTGCATTTAGAGGTTGCCACGGGCCCAATCCACAAGGAAGGGGAGGCAAGAGTCCTGTTAGACTGGTCTGAGAGGCTTTGGCGGTACACTGCTCCCTTCAGAACAAAAACAGTCTTCCCACGTGTAGTCATCTCACTTTTCACTCTATGTGAAACACACTTTTAAAGGGTTATTATTGTCCCCTGATGCTGATGAAATGTAAGCAACCTTCTTCCCTTTTGTGACTTTTATAGAAACTCTAATCCAAGGGGTATAGAACCAGGGCAAGGAACGACAAGGTTGGAATGCACTTGACTAATAGCATTTCCTGGATGTTGTTGGGTACCTTTCTTATTTAAACTCATTCTTTCTCACAGCAGATCTTGAAAGTTGCTTTATATTACAAGGCCATTTAGGTTTTTTTTTCCTTATCCACTGGTATGTATTCTATAGAAGGTGATAAAAGCTGATTTAAATTCAATTTGGAGCAGCACTTCCCATATCTGTTTACTCATTTATTTTATTCAGGAGTAGTGAAAGCCCATTATGTGAGACTACTGTAAGTGAGTGGTGGTCATAGTGATGGTCATAGGAATTAGAGCTAGAAGGGACCTTAGACATTATCTAGACCAACTCCCTCACTTGACAGAGGAGTAAACTGAGGCCCAGAGAGGGGAAATGACTTTCCCAAAGTCACACAGGCAGTAATTAGCATAGTACGGATTTGTGTCCAGGTCTTATGATTTCAAATCAACATACTTGGAACTAACATGTTGTCTCCAGAATTTCACAGGTGTACATATGTTGAAATTTTTTATTTTAATACATTTAAATTTTTAAATTTAAAACCAAACACAATATATGCATTGCCAATTAAAATCTGAGTAACAATAATAGCAATAACTCATATTTCATAGCTTTGAAATTTACCAAGAACCTTCCTCCTTTTGACAACATCCCAGTGAGGTAGGTAGTTTAAGTATTATTATCTCCACCTGAAAATGTAGAAAGTGAGGCTGAGAGATGCGAAAGGATTTGGCCAAGGTCTTACGTGAAATAACATAGCAAAGCCAAGACCTACACTCAAATCTTCCCACTCAAAGACCAGGGCACTTTTCACAGACTGCCTTATCCTTGAGTACTGATAAAGCAATGTGAGGAGGGGAAGAAAGAAACAAAACAACACAATTAAGAGAAGGGATTTTAAAAAGGAGGGTGAGGATTCATAGAGATTGAATATCCCTGGGACAGCTGAGTGGCATAGTAGATAAAGGGACAGCCCTGGATTCCTGAAGACCTGAGTTCAAATGTGACCTCAGACGCTTACTAGCTAAGTGACCTTGGGCAGTCACTTAATACTGTTTGCCTCAGTTTCCTCATCTATAAAATGAGCTAGAAAAGGAAATGGCAAACCACTCCAGTATTTTTGCCAGAAAACCATAACTGGGGTCATGAAGAGTCAGACACAATGGAAATAACTAAACAACAAAACATACCTGATATCTTAGCCAGAGAAAATTCAGGGAAATGGGAGCTCCCCTGACACTGGGCAGATTCTACACCCTGCCAACAGCCAGATCTGAAACGGAATGAATGAGACAGCTTCTTCACTCTTGGATGTTACTAGTAGAGAAAGGATTTCAACCAGTTAAGTAGTCATTGCAGCTCATAGAGTGGGTTGGTTCTACTCTGGAGTAACCAGGAGGACAATATCAGCTGGGAAAAGGTAATTATTGCCCATGTGGTAGGAAAGTAATTGATGGGAATACAAGGAGATAGAAAAAGAGATGGAGAAAAGAGGAAGTATGAAAACATTGAGAAGAGAAATTAGATAAAATCTTTCTTCTGTTCACTTTGCCCTGCCTTCTTTCATCATCCTGGACAAGCCACTTAGTGGCTCTTAGAGGCCTGGATTTTAACATCTATAAAATGGAGAGGATGTTTTTGATTCATGTTACAGAACCATAGGGGAGTAGTGAGTGAAAGTGATAGTAAAGCTCTGGGTAAAGTGCCTCAATTAGGCAAAACTGATTTTGGGAACTAGATTAGGTCAGGGAAGGGAAAGAAGGCTTGGAGAACAGTAGGAGTGACCTTATCAATGATACTACAATGGATTACAATGAATATTGTGATCCATTTTGTTCAGGAATAGATGAGAGATTCTTTAATGAGTGAATTATTTGGGTTTCACTGAAGACCAAACCATTCAATTCCTATGCTGACTTGGTTTAAATTAGAATAACTTTTAATGAAAACACTTTGCTTGCTTGCCAGAGAACTGTAAAAAAAAAAAAAAAAAAAACTTTAGTCCAATTAATTTGAATATTCCAAGTGAAACTATTTTGGGGGTCTGAGTTAAAGGCATAATTGCCTCAGTTCTCCACTGTACCATGTGTGTTTTTAGAATTTAACTGGCAGAGGGTAGAGACAGCATGATACACTCGTTCAGTGAAAAGAACACCAGGAATAGGTAGTTCACAAATGAAGAAAATAACCATATGAAAGAATGCTCCAAATCACTAATAATAAAAGAAATGCAAAGAAAACAGCTTAGGTTTCAACTCACATCTAGCAAACTGACAAAAATGACCAAAGATGGGATTAGTCAGTCATGGAATAGATGCAGAAAGACAGGCACTGTTGGTGGAGCCGTGAAAGCAATTTGGAATCATTTGAAGAAAGTGACTAAAATGTTTATATCCTTTGATCCAGCGATTCCACTGCTAGGCAAATACCACAAGGAAGTAAAATCTCTGTATACACCAAAATATTTATAGTGGAACTTTTTGTAGTAGCTAAGGACTAGAAATAAAGTAGAGGCCCATCACACTGGGGAATGGCTAAACAAATGGTAGTATATGAATGGAGTGGAATATTACTGTTTTGTAAAAACAGTACTATGGATAATACAGAGACATATAAGAAACTGTCTTCCACCTCAAGGAGCTTAAAAGGAGAGCTGTAACAGTGAAGATGAGTCTAAATAAGTACTCTCACCCCATTTAAAGTAAATGACAAGATTTTAACTAGTTGGGAACACACCTAGATATGAACAAGGCCTAGACACCTCCATTGAATCAATCAATCATTGGCTTTAGATTAAGTTTAAAAAGCCCTTGACAGGGGCAGCTAGGTGGCGCAGTAGAAAGAGCACTGGCCCTGGATTCAGGAGGACCTGAATTCAAATTTGCCCTCAGACACATAACACTTACTAGCTGTGTGACCCTGGGCAAGTCACTTAACCCCATTGCCTCACCCCCCCCCCCAAAAAATATAGCCAAAAAAAAAAAATTAAAAAATCAAAAAGTCCTTGACCAGTTTTTGACAGTCTTTGACAGACGATCAATGAACTGTCATGACATTGCACAGGAATTCCATTTGGATTGGTTGAGGGACTTAGTCATGCCCCAGTGGGGCAAGCTAGTCAGAATCAGGGATTTGATTGTCTATCAGCTTATTGACTGAAGCTTCCATCCAAGCTCCTGAAAGAATTTTTTTTTCCTTGAGGACAGGAGGGGTAGAATGAGAGTACCTCAGCCTCAGCCTTAACCGGATGAGGATCTTGCAAACTTTGGAGAATCAGAGGATTTGGAACATTTTCATCAGCATCCTGGCTAATAGAATGACAATGTCTACATTAGAGTAGAGGATAGACTGAACTTGATAAAGAA